TGTTGGTCTACTAGATATTAAAAAATATTTAACAGCTAAAAAAAAACAGAACCATTTATTAAATAAAAAATGTCTACAGTGAAAATATATCTTTATATCATAAACTGTATTAATTAATTTTTCACTTTGACTTGACTGTGATAACTTTTTTTTTTATTTATGACGATTTTATAGTTTTTATGTAGCCTACTTATAACTTGGGTTTTAATTAAGTGCTATAATATATATACAGTGTATGTAATATATATGTATGTAAATCTATATATTCAAAAATAAAATTAGACACATTATTATACATTGTCTTAAACTGAGAGATCTTCACTTGCTGTTTGACTGCTTTTATTTTGAAATAAAGTAAAGACCTTCTGGTGCATCGAAGGTTAAGACCATAACTTAACCTCGTAAAAAGAAACTGATTATCATCAAGACACTAATATTGTAAGCAGAATTAATGATTTTTTTAAAGAAAAAAATATGGGGTTTTGAAAACAGGACTATGTATTTAATTTGGAGAGCAGCAAGAGACTTTAAAACTGCGTTTGATGTTTTATTGTACCAATCTATAAAAAGCATGTAACAGGAGAGTAGAAATTCCCTAGTTTCTGGAGTATTCACCTTTTATTTCCTGCTAAGACTACAACACATTGAATTACTCAGAAAATAATTGTCTGTATTAACCCCACTATTTTTGATGTGTGACAACACAAAAGAGTGATGACTAAATATTTATTATAAAAACAGACATTACATACATAGCATGGTTTGGGTGAAAAGTTGCAAGACTCAGTCCAGACTGTTGCAGTACATTTAGGGGACAAAGAAGACGTTTCTTTTTCAAATGAAGCCAGTAAACGAGGCAGACTGAGCTGTTCATCCTGGCCTTTACACGAGGCTCTGACTGAAAACACTACAGTCACATTTAATGGTGAGTCCCACTTCAGAGCTGAGCTTTAGGTCACATGACAACCCCCCTTTGCCTTTTAAAAAGCAAAATACAAAGACAAGCAAGCACACAGAGGAAAACATGCAGAAAAAGAGCAACTTAATTACATGCAAACAAAATAATTCAATGCAAAAACTCCACATTCAAAAAGTAAACTTAATATTTATATACATGGCTTAAGGGTTCTTCAAGGTTTCATGGTAAAGAGATAAATACAGCAGATTTGGCAACACCCTTCACAAGTAATGACCACTATTGTGAAAGAGAAAAAAAAAACATGCACACAACTTTTAACAATTCTAAACAAAACCACCATGAACACAACAAAAGACATGCTGACCAAAGGGCTCTTCAGCTGGAAAACAACCATTAAATTTACCATGACTCAGCTGCATGTTTACGAGTAAAAAAAACTTCATATCCCACAAATCAACACATCTCTCCCCACCGGTTCACACTCCTGCAGAAACAGCAAACTTGCATGTACAATGATCTTTAACCAAAAGAGGGAACCACTTTATGTCACCTGGCAAAGGTACAAGCAAACATTTTCTTGATATTTAAGGGGAAAAAATGGAACACAAAATCCAGAAAAAAGTTTGAGAAAAGTGGTCTTAATAATCCATCTTAAGATCATTTAATGGTGTTTCTCTCCAATATTTTAGATTGTGAACACTGCACAGCTGCACTGATCCAAATCATTCAAAATCCAACTTGCACCATGTCGCACACATTAAGATCAAACTGTTACACCAACTGTGTTTACATCTTTGTATAAATATATATTTGATATTTGATTATATAGTCAGCACGTTGAGTGATTTATCTTTGTCCCTCAATCGCTTATTTTGGAAAAAAATAATTGGCAGACATCAATTAAAGGCCAGCTTCAATTCTTGTCTCTTAAACACAAACATTTCTATACTTTAAACTCTTGCTTATTAACTGATGGGACACAAAAATAGAACCCAACTTGGGAAGGTTTAGACACAGTTTAAGGCGCTTAATGAACAGTGACATTGACGGACAACATTTTAAGGGCTTAAATATAAATTTCATCCATGCCATGTTTGTGGCTCTTAGCAACAGGACTTACAGCAAAGAGCCTGGAACCTCGAGCAAATAGCTTAAGAGTGTGCAGCGGGTCAGTAGCAGCTCAGGTGATAGGTAAGAGCACACTAGTCAGGATCCACACTGACAGCAGGTTTAAAGCCGTAAATACATACAAGACAGATAAATATTAAAGGAGGACCGGTCCATGGCACTGTTTTCGGGCTGTTTGTATATTGCACTTTGTGTAGTAAAAAGTTAATCAGTACATTACTCAGAGTTCATCTCAGAAGCATTTCCTGAAGAAGATCTGCGGTCCGTACTCCTCATATTCTTCCTGACTGATCCATGCGGAGCTGAAGGTGGGCAGGTTGGCAAGCACTGCTCCTCCCCTCCACACTGAAAAGTCTCTGTCCTTCGGGCTGCTGACATGAACACTCTCCCCCATGTTGGGGGGAACCAGTGCTTTGATTTCAGCCTGGAGCCGCTCAGGCAGGCCGTCCAGCAGGGTGTTCCCTCCTACAGGAGCAGATAGAAAGGAAACTCAAAACATGAGCAAAGCAGTGGTACAAAAAGGGCGTGTACTCACTGCTATAAACCATCATTTTCATATTTGTATTTTGGTGTACTGTGACTTTTTATTTTATTTTTATAGGTACTCTCCTCATAGCAGGTTCTCTGGGTTGTTAATCCCTTTCATAGACATTCACATGCAGAGGGTGCAACTTTGGGTTATGTATCCTGCCGAAGGACACGTTGAACATGTGGCTGCAGGAGCTGGGGATTGAACCCCGACCTTCCAGTTGAGATATGACCGACTCTACCAACTGAGCCACAGCTGCCCAAAATCCATTTGACATGCATCCATTTCATTCAACAGTAAGACTGCTACTTTGAGCACTGAAGTTTAATTCATAAAGTTCATAGATATAAAGGTTTTAGGATCAAATAACTTTAAACTGTGTGCTCTCTTTTTATCCAGGGAAGTACGGTCTTTAGAAATATTGATGATTTAAAATGCAGTGCCCTGACATCTGTAGTCGTAATGGGACACTTGGAATTACACACTATATCATGTGAAAAGATGATAGAAAAAAAACAAGTTTATCATGCATAGTTTAGCAGGAATCATGTTAGACGTACAGTATGGCTGAAAAAGTCTGGTTCTGTTTGAGGTTTTCTGCCAGTCATATTCGCTGGTTTGAATGGCGTCCAATCGCTGAATTGTTTCAACTTCTAAACTCATTGGAGCCGTCATTGGCTCAGAAAAAAAGTCCTGCCTCAGCCAAAACATTAAAATCCAGACAAAGTCTCTGCAGACACAGTCACCACCACACATGTATGGAGGCCCAGGAGTGATGACTGAGCAACATCACTTTGGTATAAGTCTATTTTATTTTCTAATGTTCAATGAAGCTTTTGCAAACACAGCACACTATTGTTGAAGGAAAGTACCGGTACTTGCACTTGTTTTATTATCCACTTCAAGCTCTGGACCAAAGAAAATCACAGCTGGAGCGCACCTTTAGACTGTTGTGTAACACCATAACAAACATCAGCTGTTACCTGACAGTACGATGTTTCCCAGGAAGCAGCGCCGCAGCATACAGCACATAAAGTGCTCACAGGGACCATGCACCAACCATATGTACACACACACACACACACACACACACACACACACACACACACACACACACACACACACACACACACACACACACACACACACACACACACACACACACACACACACACACACACACACACACACACACAAAGACAAACTAGTAACCAAAGGCACGAGAGTAAAGCAATGTTTTAAGACCACTCTTAACAGACCTCAGGTCATTCCATAAAATTGACCATGGTGACTAAATGCACCTTCACCAGATTTAGTCTTGACCTTTGGTAAGTTCAGCAGACCCATATCTGCTGATCCAAGGGATCTTATTGGGCTGTAGTCAATGAATAGGTCTGAAAGATATTGAGGTGCCACTCCATGTAATGTTTTGTAAACCAGAAGTAATGTTTTGAATTCTATTCTGTAGTGAACTGGAAGCCAATGAAGAATGTTTTTTAGGATCGGTGTGATGTGTTCTATTTTCTTTGTCCCAGTTAGCACTCTGGCTGCAGCATTTTGGATGAGTTGGAGTTTTTTAAATTTATTTTTGGGAAGTCCAGCATAGAGGGCATTACAGTAATCTAGTCTGCCGGATATGAATGCATGGACCAGTTGTTCGGAATCAGATTGGGTCATGAAGCACCTGAGTTTGGATATGTTCTTGAGATGATAGAAGGCTGTTTGTAATAGCTGTAATGTGCTTCTGAAAGTTTAGATCCGAATCAATGATGACACCTAGGTTTTTGACATGATCACTGGACTGAAGAGGAAAAGATGATGAAATGGATATGAGTTCTTGCCTTTGTCTTTGTGGGCCCACAATCAGAATTTCCGTTTTATCCTTGTTAAGCTATAGAAAATTTTGTGACAGCCAGCAGCTAATTTCTTCAATGCATTCGGCCATGAAATATAAAGCTGTGTGTCATCGGCATAGGAGTGATAGGAGATATTGTGTTTCTGTATGATGGAACCAAGAGGGAGCATGTAAAGACTAAATAGTAGTAGTAATAAACTATATTAACTTAGCGTAGGTGTTTATGAAGCTGTACAGTAAAAGTAAAGATTTCACAAAGACAAATGAAAAGATGCTAGCCTAACAGTTAAACAACAGTCTAATAAACGTCTTTTCAACCTCTGTGTCGCAATGCTAAATCAATCATAGTCATAACAACTATAGATCCACGTTGTTTCAACATCACTGTCATAAACATTACTTTGATTATTTATTCAATGTTTATTTTGCATTGAGATTTCAAGGTCAACCAAAATGATGATTCAGACAGAAAATCAACTTAGTTTCAATGATTGTTTAATAATAGGGATACTTTTAAAGCCTTAAGAGATATCATTACTAAACATCATGCCGTGGAATGTATAATGAAAGCAAAGAATTCATTAGAAATATTCTGTACCATAAAGCAGTCTTGAGGACAAAAAAAACCCATTATGCCAATTACTTTTTGGACTTTTTTTGTCAATCAGTGCTTCTCTTAACTTGAGGTTGCACAGATTTCATACTGATGGGGTGACAGAACTATGCCAAACTGTGAGTCCATTGCGGGTTTGACCCCAGCAGGCATAGAGAAGGTGAAGTGCTGCATGAAGGAGGTAAAGAAGAGGAAAAGTTCCATCCTGGCCAGGCCTTCCCCTGGACACAGCCGCTTACCTGAGGCAGGAAAACAGAATTAGACAAACTGTTATCGTTTTTAACAGAAACTGAACAAGAGTCATGCAATGAAATAAAAAAATAAAAAAATCAGCTGTTTTCTCTCCCATTTAATGACTTAAGAACATGGAGAAAAAAATGTGACTATTGTAACACCTGAAACATGTACTTAAAAAAAGAGAATGGATAGCTAGAAGAGGAATAAGTTCAACAAAGGTGACTGTACATCGACTGTATAAAAAGATCGATGACATGACAGCTCCCCAAATGTGAAGCCAAGACATTTGGAGCGTCCCCTACTGACTGGCTGCAGAACAAGTCATAAACCCTCACCTCCTTCATGTTAATAGAAGACACATGAGTCAAACTACAAGAATTACATAAGCCATTTAACTAACTAAAAGTGTCAAACTGATTCAAACTGATTCAAGAAGATGTTATGCTCTAGACTGCGTGGACCTTTCTGGTCTTTACCAATTTCTTGAAGGTTAAATTTTTGTTAGCGGAAGTAGGATGTTAGCGGACGCAGGATGTCAGCATCCTGAGCAAGTGTATTTTGGCTTCAGCTTTGTACAATGGAATGAGGTAGAGATGTATTGTTTATTTTTAAAACAGTCATAGGTTCACAATATTATGGCAGAAGTTATGAAAAACACTTATCCAGCTTGATCTTTTAAACGCCTTGTATACTTTGAAAACATACTGCAGAAAATTAAACACCATGAACATACTAGCCTGGCCTTAACATGTTGGTCGACTTAAAGAAGAAATTATATTGAAATGATAATTGGGTTGATACAATCCAGTCAATTCTTACTGTAATCATTGCAGGGAGCAGCGACTGGCATTTATTGGCATGGTTATTATCCCTGACCCATTTCTTTTCATTTCCTTCTTGGCCAAGAGATTTAGGCATTTTTGTAAAAAAATATGTGAGGACCACCCAAGGGTCCCAATGAATGCTGGGATTGACAATTGGCACATTTACTTATTGTGAAAGAAGTTAAGTCAAGAAGTGGTCGGTTGCTTCTCACCTGCAGAGAAAGGAATGAAAGCAGCTGGCTTCACAAACTTCCCCTCCTTGCTCAGAAAGTGTCTTGGGTTGAAGGTAAAGGGGGTCTCCCACTCATTCTTGTCGTATAGCACCGAAGTCAGATTGGGAATGACTGTAATTCCCTAGTGAGAAGAATAATTACATTTTATATAATAATTTGAATTAATAAATGCTGGAGGTTTATGAATCATAAAAAATGCATTTATACAAACGGACCTTTGGAATTGTGTATCCTTCCAACTGTATATCATGGTTTGTGTTATGAGGCAGGCTTAGAGGTACTACGTTGCTCATTCTCATGATCTCGTGGAGGACAGCGTCAGTGTAAGGCAGGTTTACACGATCTGCTGTTGATGGTTCTCTGGACTTTCCAACTACTTCATGTATCTCAGACTGGACCTTTGCTGGGGGGGCGGGAGGGAAACAGCGTGGAGCAGAAAGATAATTCTTCAACAGGCTCCAAGAGTATACAAAACTTGTAAAGAGATGAGGCACAATTTAAAACTACTACATTAGTGAGTACGGTAAATAGATTTGCGCTCTTGTTGATTTCAAACAGTAGTTTAATTTTTCAATGTGTAGCAAAGACTTGCTTCAGAACAGTATTAAATTACACTATACAGGGAATTGGTACGCTGTCTGCATTAAAAGCGAGAATTACTATACCCTTCATAGTGGACTCCTTGTATCTATCAGTGCATTGTGAAAAGTAGCTGACAAAACAATATATACTGTCATGCATTGCTGTGCAAAGGAAATTCATCTCCTTATCAAAATAATTGGAATAGGAGTTAGAGGAAACAGAAGAAATAGTATTTGGGTGTTTTATAAAGAGTAAATGATTTTCCAAGTAATTATATTTTTTCCTGATGATGATGCCAGTTATGAGACCATAATCTGTGTGAACGTGACTAATAATTGAGTTGTAGCACAAACAAATTGTTCTTTATTTTATCAATTATGTTATATCATTTTATATCTAGTTATATTGTAAAAAAAAAAAAAAAAAGATACACTCAGTTTAAAAGAAGATATCACTGAAATTGGCTCAACAATTAGCTCACTACAGACAAGCCGGAAGATATGCAGGTATCTTCAGCAGCAAAAGCTGAGTTGCACAGCAAATATGGCAGCCACCACAACATGGCACTGCCCACAAATCAACTAAAGTCCTCCACTGAGAACTCAATAGGGAGTAGGTAGTAGTGAATATGTGATTCCAAATACAGCCTACCTACAGTATTTACCTACCTACATACCACTAAAGTGTTTTAGTTTCCCACATATCCCCATTATTGAGTTAAAACTGGTCAGTGCTCTTACCCTGGATCTCAGGACTCTTTGCCATGTAGAGAAAAGCCCAGAGTAGGGTGCTGGTAGTGGTTTCAGAGCCAGCAACAAACAGATCCAAGACACACATGACAAGATTTTCCTCTTCAAAAGTGTTGTCAGTCTGGGCCTTACTCTGAGAATATATCCAAATACATGTCAAAGAATTAAACAAAATCATCCAGAACAAATGTAATTTCCACATACATCAGTAGTGGTTGTACTTTGAAATTAGTCGTTGTCTGTGCGTTGGCTTAGCTACAGTGCACAGGTTCAAAGGAAAATGACGCAGCATCTTCATAAAAAGCAAAGTCGAGACCTCACAGCATTCATGTGTACCGCGTTTTGTCAACCGCGTGGTTCTCAACAGCTTGTTTAAGTTGGTTGTCACCGGTTTACCTTACTGAATTAACAGTGCTCAGCTTGTACCCATCGTTTGTGTTAATATGGCTTTCTCTGTCGGCATTTCTACTGTGGGCGACTGAAAATGGTCACTTTCAGTGTCTTCAAAATGCAGCATATTCACTGCCTGGTAAAAAGGCAAAAAGCTGACTTCCTTTTCGGTATGACAGCTAACCTACCTGTTGTTACACAGCAGGTCCCTTTCATATGATTAGCTTGGCTAGCTAAGCAACAGTTGGCACCCCAAGATTGATTGACAAATGTAGAGAGAGATGTGTTGATCTTTGACTTGCGGTGCACAAGGGATGTTTTTCTATTGGTTAAAACATTTTTGAGACAAGGACTGTTACAAAACCAAGAATATTAGTGTTTTATGGATATTTCCTTTCTGAGGTCGATTTGATCATCATTTGGTGCTTGTTTTTACGTAATGTTGATATAGTGATGGTATATATGATCAGAAATCAGTACATGGTGTTTTATTTTGAAATTGACCGAATGCTCTATGAGTTCCCATGTCCGACTTTCAGTCTGGGTGGATCTGCTCTGTTCAGCTTTACACGTTCTGAAATTGCCTCAGTTGAAAATAGATTTGTTTTTCTGGTGGAGCAGAGTGTCAGCACTTCTGGAATGCACATAAGAAGGGCCACAGCGCATGCAGTTGGAACATTAGCATTAGGACGTGATCAGCTCTAGATGCATGGCGTGGCCAGAACATGGCGCAAACGGATGCTGTTCGGTTTCAGTGTAAGAAATACAACTAGTATTGTGCATATTGTGCCCATCACCATCTGTATCTCATTCAAGTAGCAGTCGATGTAGTCTCTTTGGTCTGAGGGGTCCCAGTTTTGTTTGTGCTGTTTAAGTTCTTCTCTTATGAAGTCCTTTATGTCATTGAAGATGTGCCGTAATGTGATGTGTGGTCCTGGCAAATATCTCATCAGCAGAGGGAATGAGTTGTAAAACTGTAGAGTAGAGCAGAATGAAATAACATTTTGAGGTGACATTTCATGACAAGATTTTTTGTTTGTAACAACCAATACTCATTAAAAATCCCATTTGTAAATCATGCATTTTAGAAAAGTCTTTCATTGTGAGAGATATATATCACAACCATGGTGCACACATCAAGAATAGGTCAATTGCTTAAAATTGCCATACCCATGCCCAGAGTGACATTTGTATCTGAAGAGATTTTTCAAAGAAGCTAATCAGTTTCCTGAAGTTCTCATCCGTGTACTCAAAGCGATGTCCGAAAACCAGGGAGCAGATTATGTTTGAGACAGCGTTGTTGATGATGGGGCGCGGATTAAATGGCACACCTTTATAGATAAACAGAAAGTGAGATGCTAATTTGGTACACATGAGGGGTTCTTGTTTTAAATCTATCACCTTATATTTCATTTACCTTTATAGCTATGAAGGTCTTTTGAACAATAGGTAAATTCCTCCAAGATGACAGGTTCTAGCGCCTTTTTACCGAGTCCAAAATTTCTGAGGGTTGAAAGCGCAAAACGCCTCTGCTGCTTCCATAAGTTCCCATTGCTGGATATAATACCTGATGGGAAATACATCAAAAGTAGTTCAAATGTATCTGCAGTAATATGGAACATTATGAGATGTTTGCAGCCTGTTAAATAAATACATATTTTTTTCAAGTCTACTTGTGGCATAAGAACCAAGAATCACCAGAGTTACAATAAAAGTGAGACCAAAAATGTGAATAGAAAAGCTTTGCATCCTCTCACCCAGTCCATAGTTTAGTTCATTCGTCAAAGGCATGACTGGGCGGTCCACCAGGCTGTGTCCGTGATTTACAAGAGCTTCCTTAAAAACCTTAAATCCATTTAAGACCACAATCGGCACCTTGCCCATACGCAGGCTGTATACATCTCCATATTTCCCTGCTAACTGTGAGTGGATTTTAAGAACAGTAGAAAAAAAAACATTGTCAATACAACAGAAGACAGAATGAGTCCTATGAGTTGACCTGCCAAATTTTGAATGGTATTATTTTTGTCAAACATTTCTTGAATTACCTGCATCATACTCTGATGTGTTCTGTTGTGGTCTACAGAGAACATGTTGCCCACGATCGGAAAAGCCCATGGTCCTGGAGGAAAGGTGGCAGGCTGGCGGTTTTTGATAAAATCTGTTGTGAGGATGAAAACTGCAATGAAGAGAAGCAGACTTTTGACATCAAAGTCCACATAGGATCCAATTACAGAAAAGATAGAATCCATCATCCAAGAAAGGGCTCAAGTGTTTTAAACTGAAGCCTGTGATACAAAAGTCCTGTGTTGTTTGATTAAAGCTGATCAGCTTTTCAAGGGGAGATAAGCTTTTCAAGGGGAGAGAAAGGCAACATTCTGGCAGAATGGAGAGGCCGAATGAGCTAAACCTGTTCTTCAACGGGTTTAGTTCACAGCCTCTCCCACCTCAAACAACACCTCTGTCCTTCACACCCCCCAGCCTCCCTTTCTATTTTCTCCCTCCCCCCAACACCCCATGGTGAACTCTTTGGACTCTGGCCCCGCACCACAGGAGTGCACTTCGCCCCCTGAGGTGAATTGCTCCATCCTCCCCTGACTCTAACAACTGGCTAGGGACAGCTGGAGAAACTACACCTCAGCAAGGTGAAACCATTCCTTGACCCTCTACAATTTGCCGACCAGCCACACCTGGGAGTGGACAATGCCATCATCTACATGCTGCAGCGTGCTCACTCACATCTGGAGGGAAACGGCTGCACTGTGAGAATCACCTTTTTTAATTTCTCCAGTGCATTCAACACCATCCAGCCACAACTGCTGGAAGAGAAGCTGCGGTTGATGGGTGTGGACTTGTCCATCATCTCCTGGATTACTGACTACCTGATAGACAGACCACAGTTTGTCCGACTTGGCAGAGTAGTGCAGGAGCTCCACAGGGGACTGTGCTGTCTCCTTTCCTTTTCACCTTGTACACCTCTGACTTTACGTACAACTCCAGGTCATGCCACTTGCAGAAGTTTTCTGATGACTCTGCGGTGGTTGGGTGTATAAGTGATGGGCAAAAGGGGGAGTACAGAGAGCTGGTGGATAACTTTGTGGAGTGGACAGGAAGAAATCACTAGATTCTGAACGTGGATAAGACCAGGGAGATGGTGATTGACTTCAGAAGGAAGAGGACAGCGCCACCACCGCTGTGCATTCTGGGAGAGGATGTGTCTGTGGTGGAGGAGTACAAGTACCTGGGTGTCAACATAGACAACAAACTGAACTGGAAGGCCAACACTCAGGCTGTTTACAAGAAGGGGATGAGCCGACTCTACTTTAAGAGGAAGCTGAGCTCCTTCAACGTGTGCAGCAAGATGTTGGAGATCTTCTATCAGTCTGTTGTGGCCAGTGCACTGTTCTCTGCTGTGGTCTGCTGGGGAGCAACATTGGAGCTGGTGAGACTAAGGGCACGGTCTCACTGCCCATCCGTACTGTGCCCAAGCACACTTCAACGCTAAAGTCCAGTTCGTTTGGCCAGTGTGACCGCTCCTTATCGTGCTCAGGCACGGTACACTTCCTTGGCTTTGGCTTTGAGTACAGCATGGTACAGATGACCGTGCCTGCTTCTCCCTTACCAACCATTCAAAATCAAGACGGGGGACTTCAAACATCAGCTTTGACAAAAGGAAAGGCAGAGGAGACCCAAGTCTGAATCGCTTTTTCAAGGGTACATTTCCAGGTGTAGAGCTGCTGCTGATACCATGACAAAACTCCTTTATATCATTTTAATGTTTTCACTGTGATATTTCCATGAATTAAAGCAAAGATATCCAGTGTTTCCCCTAGGTTTACAGCTTTGGGGGAGTTTATTAGAAAAATGCACAGACATTTTAGGTCAGATAGAAATAGTTATATCTGCACCAGTTCGCTTGCCTGCATTCATCGCTGCAACATCTGCTGGTTAGCCGTTTGCCAGGCAAACCGAGGGGCGTCCAAAATGTTTGCGTCGAGGTGCAGTAAAACTGCCTTCTTCTCTGGTCAAAATATAAAACAAACCATTTTGCACTGCATTCAAAACTTAGAAGGAGGACATATTGGCTGCTGCATAGTTGTCAGATGATATAATAAGGTCATTTTATGATTTAATTCAGTAGATATCTTACACATTGCTCCTTTGAGGACATCCAGTGTCATGGTGACACATGGTGAAAAAAAAGATTCTGATATATTCTCTTTAATTTAAAGTCATTTTCCAGTCATCTATAAAATAAAGGTGTTTATGCAGTGAAAGAAATTGCTTTAAGTCTCCATATTCATTTCAGGGTGTATACATCCCTTAACACTCTTATACTTATGTTTACACACATGAGGTGTGTACAGCTTTAAGGCACTAGTTCACGCAGCAGCCTACAGCTAAAAAAAAAGCCAGTGAGCCCTCCCTGTTACGGTTTAATACAATGGATACACGAGAAAAAAATATAGCACATCAACAAGTATTCAACATACCAGTGGATGCTTTTACTTTTGTTAACTTTTAAAACTTAAATTTCCTTGTGTATACCGATCATACAATGTGTTAATGATGTAACTTTTTTACTGATGAACTAGGGAAGTTTATACAGTTATATTTTTCCCCTTAAAAATGTAAAGGGAGCATAAACAGTTGGTGGAGTCAGAATCTGCTCTTCTTATTTCAGTTCACTTGTTCCAAATTTGATAGAATTTGAAGAAATTTAATTTTTTGGATACTCAAAGTTAATTTTTCAATTTTAAATATTTCCAAAATTGTTAAACACCAGTCATCTAATGTATGTTCTACTAAATTTATCAACTTTCTAATATTTTTTTTAACTTGGTGTCAAAAGAGACTGCAGCAGCTTTGTTTCACTCATGTTTTTCAGAAGCGGCATGCTGCCCAATAAAAACCCTCAATGTTAAGGGGTATTTAAGTGTTGAATAATTTGCTTAATGTTTTATGAGTGCTGAGTGAAGCAAGGACTTGTTTGTTGTTTTCTTGGTTATTCTGTGTTTTATAATATTGTATAAATATGAAGTTGGTGTGTTAGTTTTAAATATAAAAATTATAATTGTAATGGAAAATACAATTTATTATTGGATTTATTGTTAAACATATTTTATTGGCCATTTTCTCGACTTTGATAAAGGCGTTGCTTTAAGTAACTGTTGCTTTAAGAGAGCCCGTCATGGCTTATAATTGAGCTGAGAGCTGTGTTGAGGATCAACAAGCTGTGGAGTCACACGATTGGTTCTCACACTGTGTCCATGTCCGTGCTCTTTGGATTCAGTATCATCCTGTAGATTTTATGCTTGTGACACAAAAAAAAAGTTGTTTGTGTTTTTAAACCTTACAACGGCCATGGAGTGGATCATTGCTTTGGACACACCAGGGGGGCACATGTATGCCAGGACTACCAGCTAGTTTACAGTTCTGTCAGTAACAAGTGCCATACTAATACAAACTTAGATTTGGACAGTCCCAAAAAATAAGGAATGATTTGCCTCCATTGGGCCACACTATCTCCAACACATCTGACTTGTATCCCTATATTTGTCTTAGTATGGCTTCTTAAAGTACCTAATAATTGTTTCGCAGCAGTATTCTCTCCAATTCGCATGAGTATATAAGTTGATGAACATTGGAAACTGTGAATTTCCTTCCAAGCATCCACTGAGAGTCCAATTCTTGCTTCTTTATCCCACTTCTTCTCTGTAATGCATAATGTGTTGTTGTATTTTTGCACCAAGGAGGCATTACACAATTTAGAAAAAAATCTATAAAAATACACAAGTCCCTCTGCTTTACGTCATGTTTGTAATGAACATTTTAAAAACGTTGTAATGCACTTTTATTTGCAAATGACAGACAAGTTGTCAGTGTAACCACGCTCAGTTGCACTTCACTGCAGCTGGCTGGTTCAATAAACCCCTGTGTGTTGTGCATTGAGTGATGCTTGTTTGTCTGTCTATGCTGCCATTGATAATCTGAACAGGAAAAGAATATGTGCTGGTCCATAATACAGTTGGCTCCTTTCAGCAGCTTACATGCAGCACACTCGCTCTGGTAGGTCTGTTATTAACTGGCCAAGTATCACAGGCTGTAATGAACATAAAACAAACACACTTATATGAATATACTGGCATATTTCAGTAAATTATTATAAACTTGAAAACAGACTGTGAGATCTTATATAAATGTACCATAAGGTAATGATTAGTTAATGTATATCTGCTGCTAAGTCTGAACTCTGAACCAGTAGGTGAATAGCACAAAAGTAAACACTCATTAATGATTGCTGAAACATGACTTGCTGTTTTTGTGCATCTCAATAGAGATAAATAATATGAATTTATACTTCTAGGGGAGCCTAAGAGACGAGGATGATAAGAAACCAAACCATATAAATTGCAGACCAAAGGTTATGGAAATAGCAAAGCACAAACAACTGCTGTATGAGCTTTGAATGCAGGTGAGGACAGATATGTTAAACAGGCAGCTTATCAAGATTTGCAGGTCTGAATGAAGTGGAATGAGGATGGGAAGCAATGTGCAGCTACCTGTCAGCTCAAGTTTGTTAGTCAACTTGTAACTGTGATGACTTAGAATGAAGAAGAACATCACTCTGGCTTTTGAGTCGAATGTCTTGGTAAAGAAAAAGGTTTAAGGGGCTCCCACTGTAGACCTGTCACAGTCAGATGAGGGCGAGGTTGGTGACATTGGAAACTTTTGACCTTTAACAAGCATTCTGCCACTAAGGAACATCCTGACCATTTCAGTTACATTTGCCATGGACATGAGTAAGGCATCTCCTGGATCGTAGAACTCTGCCTCCTCATCTGATCTCGTGTTGGTTTGGTCAGGACTTCTTCCAAGTTTTTTTTCAAAACAATGTGCCAACACCGCCCCTCATGCATGCGTAGTTGGCCATCGGCTGTGGCCTTTGCGGTGTGTTCTAGTGCAACTTTTTGCGACCTGAGGCGACATGAGGCCACGTCACAGTCGGCCTTGGTCTTCACTAGTTTTTTGCCATCTGCTTGGTGTGTCAGGGTCTTTACATTGAGGCCACAGCCTGCAGAACTTGTGTGAGATGTTTACTTCTGTAGCCTGATGGTTATCAGTGCATTCTGACATGCAGCCATACCAGACACTCTTAGCCGCCACTTCAACAATGGAGGCACTAACCATGACCCATTTAGATTCCATGTATTTTACGTACAGGAGGTTATCAGTTGACAACTCTTGTCCTCACTTTACCGATTGCATAAGACAACTACAGACTTGTTCAAGTTAAATATCATAAAAAAATTCAACATATAAGTAAATAAACAGAGCATTCCTTCGTATCACCCTCTTCCCAGTTTTACAAACATTGTACACAGGCTCTAATGTCCTCCAGCTGAAATA